TAAGCAACTGTTTCTTGCAAATCCGACCGGCAGAAGGCCCAGGGGACGGCCAAGATTAACCTGGTGCAAACATATGGAAGAAGTCTTTTACAGACTCCATTTGTCTTTTGCCGAAGCTCAGACTCTGGCACAGAAGCGGAAACGTTGGAAGCTCTGTCTGACGTGTCTGCCTCCGCGACCCGAAAGGAGCAGCGGCGATGGAAGATGAGATGATGATGATACATACAATTATTAAGAATAACACAGTCATTTGAAAAAGTCAACGTCAACGTCAACTAAACATGGAATGTCCGAAAATTCAGGCGAACCTTCTGGTGTTTAGCGCCTTTGATGTGAGCCTGGTACGTGTCCTGTCCGGTGCACGTGACGCAGCAAAGATCACAACGGAACGTTGCTTTCGTCTTAGCTACTGGCTGACTTCCTGACCGCAGCTGAATTTCCTTCTTTTTATGTTTCTGTCCTTCTAGATGTTCGCGATAAGTCTGAAAAAATAACAACGCACATCTATACATAAAACAGGCAATATATAAACTTCAACATTAGAAATTTGTACCTGAGGGCCAGCACAGCTAATTTTGCAGATCTCACAATAATGCAACTGCTGCGCTCTAGGAGTCATCCCAGTTGCTGGTTTCCTTGGATACATCATTCTGCTACCAGCGGCAGAAGAAACGTTTTTACGCAGCCCCAACCACTGACTGCCAGTAGCCATCGCTCTGGACTGAATATAATTTGTAGCCGCCGCATAAACAGCTGCGTCATACCCTAAATTCGTTAGTACAGTAGAAAAAACTATACACAGAAATTAATGAAACGTTGCGTTATAACCGGCAACTATAATTGTGTATAGGCGTCTTTATAAAATGGTTTAATAAATATAACGAACTTTAAAGCATAATGCATCTCAGGCCACTGATTTATGCACAGAATTTAAGTTACAATAAATTAAAATAAACCACTATAATAACCATTAATCATTACATTAAAAACCAACATTTCCACATCCCACTGCATCTACATACGCAGAAATACATGATTCTTCTCATGCTCATGATTAAAGTATTAGTTAAACTTCGATCGAAACTGCTGTTCGTCGCAGGTCAACAGTAAAGGAATGATGATCAAACCAAGAAATGCTTCAGGAAAATGAAACGGAGCAGCAGCAACAGCAAAGGAATAAAAAAGGCGCAGCAGGAGAATGAGCAGATACAGGAAAAGAAGATGAAATAACTGGTGGTATAAAAAAATGAAAAGAAAGAGAAACCGAAAAAGATAAATAAAACAACGACAAGAAAAGGACAACGAAGACTTCGAGCAGAAGAAGCAAAAGGATGGAAAGGTGAAAGAAAAAAGGAAACGAACGAGACGAGTGAGAATAAATCAGCGAAACCAAAACTGAAGAAACAGGTATTAGTCAATAATTTAATTAATTTGAGACAACTTGATTCCAAA